CTTATGACTAGAAAAGCTGCCAAGTCATGTGGCATATTTAAATATACTCTACATTAACATATTGCTAATAAGCTAGCTCATCAAAAATGTTGCCAAATAGTTTCAGGATATTTTTTGTGTGATATATGTAATCCATAAAGTTTTTTGTTTAACTTCAAATTTAGCAGCAGTTACCAAATTAAGAATATATAGGTTAGAGTAGAGCGGAGATATTATATTATAGCGGAGGAATTATAATACAGCGGAGGTATATTATAATACGGAGGAAGGATATATAATATAATACGGAGGAAATATAAGGTAATATACAATATCAGAAATATGAAAAGAAAATATAAGTAAATATAAAAGGAAATATAATATAATACGAGGGAAGTTTTATATTATAGCGGAGTTATTATATATATATATATATATATATATATATATATATATATATATATATATATATATATATATATATATATATATATATATATATATATATATATATATATATATATATATATATATATATATATATATATATATATAATATATATATATATATATATATATATATATATATATATATATATATATATATATATATATATATATATATATATATATATATATATATATATATATATATATGTATATATATACTTTGTTATTTTTATTACATTTTAAATAAGCATTTGGTTACAATATTTAAAATACAAGTAAATAATAATAATAAAATAAAAAAAATATATATACATTTTTATTACATTTTAAATAAACATTATATTACAATATTTAAAATAAAAAAAAATAATAATAAAAAAATATATACATAATGATCGTTATTAAATAATAAAAGAACGCGGGTTATATGTAGGTTGGAGTAGAATGGATGTACACACAAATATGTTTGTAATTTTAGCTATTATTTCTTTTTTGTAGTGTACGGGTGTAAGTGATTTAGTTTCTATGCGTATGTTACTTTTTTGAGAGTTTAATGTTTGAACATATTCAGATAATTAATAGCCTTCATTTTTCGTTATTTTTAAAGCTATACAATTGACAAATAACTGCTGCTTCTTGTCTGTCCCGTTTGCTCCACCCACTTGCAAAATGTAAAAGTTACTTGTCTAGAGTTTTGTTACTTTGTTTGTCGTAACTTATTTTTAGAAATGTTTTTTTTGTTTTTTTATTTTCTTGTGTCAACGAGTTTTAGGAAATTTATAAAAATTAGTCTTAAATATGATTAGTTTTTCCGCAACTAGCATTTGTTTCTAATGTGTCCACATTTGCTCCGCTCTACGCAAAAATGGTTAAGACAAATATCTAATAACAAAAAACATTGTATGAATGAATTAAAAACTAAATTGACGTACTAAATTTCTGTACAAAATTGTAAGTCTTAAAATGTTGACATTTTAAATGCCAACTTCTTTACGCAATTAGTCAATTCTAAGTTTTCATATTTATCCAAAAAGTTCCATGATTTTTTTGCACAAAATTTATTTTTTATATTTTCTGTTTTTATAGCAATGGCCAAAAATAGTGATTGAGGAAAAAAAGTTTGTGCTAACCCGGTGTTTTTAGGTGTAATCCAATTTTAGATGTAAAATAAGTTTAATTAAAAAGTTTTTACGTCTTCGTTTTTTTATTAAAATAATCTAAGAATTTATGGCATTAAACCATGATTACATGAATTTACCAAAATGGTGTGTAAAACAAAGTTTAAAAAAAAATATTGACACAACTTTAAGTGACAATTTTCGAATAATCATTTAAAACGCATATAGCTGTTTTAGTGATTAAGAAAAGAAAACCATTAATGGAAGCAAATGAATCAAATTTGAAAGATTAGACAAACAAAAAAAGTTTATAAAACTTAAAGCAATTGAATTTATTAGATTTATCAATCAAATCTGATAGATGATGAATTAAAAACGGTAATGAAATTTTTTTTGTAAAATGTATCTTAATCGAAAACCCTTATTAAAATCAATTGCACGTTTTATAATATTTTTTTTGCTTTCAAATTAATCTTTTAATATTTGGAACAAGTAGCGAAATTTTTAAAAATATTTTTAAAATTAAAACCTTTTTTTGTTGTTGTTACTTATTATACATTATAGTAGGTAAATCGTATTAAAATAAAATAGACGAAGAAGCCTCACTTATTTGTTTTACACCACCTTACATATTTGCATTACACCACCTTACATATTTGCATTACACCACCTCACTTATTTGCTTTACATCACCTTACATATTTGCTTTAGGCTCTAGCAAAACTAAACTGAAACCTGAAAAAAAAATTCAAGATAGAATTTACGTCATCTAAGCTGACCAGGTTAAAGTTTTGCATAAAATGATAAAAGTGTGTATAAATTTTACCATATTAATACAAAAACTCATATATTAATTTATTTTATTAATTTATTGTTAAATTATTTTATTTATCTATTATTCATTTATTTTGTTAACTAGGAGCAATATACAATAAAAACTATAAGACAATTGTAAGGATACACAATTCAATTTTAATTAATTGAATTAAATAATTTTATGCTGGAGATGATCTTTGTCTACTGCTAGTTCCATGGGTTATATGAATGAAAACTGTTGTCATGATATTTAATTTATGACAGTCGTGGGTAGCCATGATTCTCAACATGATATATCCTGAGATGTTAAAAATAAAAAACGTCTTTTTTTGAGTTTTTAAGATTACTATCCACTAAGCTTTATTTTGTAACCCGAGAGCAAATAATTTTTTAAAAATGGTTTATTTGAATATTGTTATGTAACTTTACTTTCCTCTTGTTGCTAATAAATTATTTTCAATCAAACTTAAAAAATATATTTATAAAGGAAAAGAATTAAATCTTTGTTTATTGACTAAGGTCGAGCAATGCCTGTTGGCTTTAAATAAAAAAAAGGATGAATGAATATAAAACATTACCATTTGTAACTTGTTCATTTTTTAAAAATTCACAGAATTAAAGAATAAATAACCTGTTCTTTTAATTTACAAAAAAGATTGCATTAGAATGATTCTAGATATACAACTCTGTCTAGTATTACAATGCCATTTTACGGTCCCAAACAAAATAATGATGCCGTTAAAATTAGCTGCAGCCGTAGTTTTCAGTAAGGTATTACCTCGATTATGGGCAATTCATTTTAACTTGATCTAAAATCTACCCAGGACGTGTGTTTCCTGAATATCAATTGAGTAAAGTTAGCCAGCATATAAAAAAACTGCAAAAGTTGGAATTTAGTAAACCGTCTGTTGATCAAGCTTACGCACAACTCTGTATTATGTGAATTACACAGTAAGTTAAATTGAACATTTTTATTTCTTGTAAAGTTTCCCGTGGGTACAAGACGTGTTTAAGACAAATAAATAACGTAATAAGATGTATAAACACGTATTTTATATGTCCTCAACACGTTTTGTGCCTGTTGGGTTTATTTTTATTAAATATTTTGCAAATAATAAACAGATAAGGCTTTTATACAATATTATTTTTAGAAAATTAATATAGTTTATTATTGTTTCGTTAAATGCGATTTTTTTTTTTTTAAATACAAATATATTATCAAGTAAACGATAAATTATTAAACTGTTAATGACATTTTGTTGCTTCCAGTTTCCCTCAGAAAAACAAGTTAATAAAAAAATAATAAAAAGAAAGCCAAAAAATTAACACCAATCCAATTAAACAAAAATTACTTGAACATCAGAATGAAAATTAATAAGATTATAGAGAAAAGAAAACTAAAAACATACAAAAAATAAAATTAAAATATTATAAAGAAAGAAAAATTTCAACAATAATTTAAAAATTATAAAAATTAAATATTCTTGATTATGATGCTTTTATAAAGAGAAAACAAAAATTAATGAATTACCTCATATTGTATTAAATTAAACGAGATGGCTTCACAATTTGTTAACCAAATGCCAAAACTGTGAGTTTAATGTTATTGACATTTAGTTTAATCGTTGATCAATTTACTCAAAATAACACTAAAGAACTAGTGTCTGGTTATCAATAACCGCTTTTTCATTATTAATTTTAAATACTAATATTAATACATAAGTCTATTGATATAATTAAATTATATTAATTTTAAAATGATACCTGAAAAATTTAAAATTTAAAAAATTTGTCCCTAAAAATTAACTTTTTATTTTATTTATTTTTTGTTTTTGTTTCCATTTTTGCTTTTTTATTTGTTACTAAAGTATTTGCCAAATAAAAACATGGTTTGTGTTAAAAAAGAAAAGTTTACCTTAAAGAAATCCATAATGTTCAGCTAAAATAATAATAAAGCTAAAGCTAAAGTAGGGGAAGCTAAAATAGGGGAAGGTTGCCTTAGCTGAGCCATAAAGTGTTTTTTTGTCAAAACAAAAAACAGTTTTATTGTAAAGTTTTCATTAATTTTATCAAAATAAAAAGTTGAATCACTGCAAAGGTCCCATTAACTCTTTTATAATGGAACGTTGAATTAAATGAACAGTTCTTATTTTTTAAAATAGACAAATGTGTGTTACAAGGGCTTAAAATTAAATAATAAATCTGAAGAAATAAAAATAAGAATACTACGAAGATATCTCATAATGGTATTTTATAAAGGCACACATTTCAATGAATAGTTATGGTTGAAACTAATGTTATTTTCATAGTTGTCTCATTAAATTTAAGGTTTGATTATTAATTTAGTATTTAAACTTAAAAATGTTTAAATCTTATATATATATATATATATATATATATATATATATATATATATATATATATATATATATATATATATATATATATGTATATATATATATATATATATATATATATATATATATATATATATATATATATATATATGTATATATATATATATATATATATATATATATATATATATATATATATATATATATATATATATATATATATATATATATATATAATCTATTTATATACTTAAATGACGTTGTGTTTGTTTTGAAGACCGTTACATAATGTTATCATAACAGTTTGTTTAAGACTCATTGTAAAGAGTTTTTCGGTGTACTTTGTAAAAGCAACTGCGAAGCATGGATTTTAATCTTAAAGATTTTGTTATTATGCAATTACGGTAGCATCATGTATAAAATGACACACCCTGCTTGAAGAAAAACGAAATCTTTAAATAAATCGAACTTTGTTAAATTAAAAAATTATTACAATAAAGTCTAAATCTATAAAAGGAACTTAAAATATAAAAATCCTTTTTAATACTTGTATTGTAACATTTACAAAAGTTTTAAAAAGTATCTTTGCAGGAAATGATTATATTAAATGAACTTTGTGTTTCTTCTAAATCAATAAAAAGGTTACATTTTTTCAGCTTTATTTTATTACTGTTAGAAATAGTAGCTAGTATACCTTTTTACAGTAACGATACAATGAAACGCAGTGAGGAAAAAACTACACAACCATGGGAAAACATAAGATTAGCTGACAATGTCGTTCCATACAGCTACTTTTTGTCTCTTAACGTAAATATTGACGATGATTTCTTCGATGGCAAAGTGAGCATTTACGTTAATGTAACTAAATCAACAAATGTAATTGTAGTTCATCAAGTTGATCTCCAAATTAATTATGTGCTGTTGGAAAACCTTGAAGGCAACCAAATTCAGATCGAAAATCACTTTAATTACTTTGCAAATGAATACTACGTAATAAAAATTTCTTCGATGCTCCTAGCTAATAAGTCCTACGTAATTTTTATTAATTTTAATGGAATATTGCGTTCAGATCTTAATGGATTTTATAAAAGCAGCTATAAAGAAAATAATATTACACACAAAATTGCATCAACCTTTTTCTCTCCTATAAGCGCACGAAAAGCTTTTCCATGTTTTGATGAGCCGAGGTTTAAAGCAAAATTTTCTTTATCTCTTACTCATAATGAAAGATATCATTCCATTTCAAATATGCCTATGTTAATAAGCAAACGCAACGGAACACTAATATCAACTTTGTTTCATATAACGCCTATAATGTCTACATACACTATTTGCTGGGTAGTTTCTGACTATAAACACATCAAGTTCATAACTAATAATGGATTAGTTATAAAAGCTTGGGCGCCTAACTTACAACTTGTAGAAACAGAGTATACCTTAAATGCCACAGTAATACTGCTCGAGTATTTTGAAGATTACTTTAAAATACCTTTCCAACTAAAAAAACTTGATATCGTTGCAATACCAAACTTTGGACCAGGAGCAATGGAAAATTGGGGTCTAATAACCTACAGATCTGAAAAGATGTTAATAAATAATGAAATATCAACAGAAATAGATAAACAAGCAACTTTTTTAATTATTGCTCATGAACTAGTGCATCAATGGTTTGGTAACTTAGCAACAATGAAGTTTTGGACTGATGCTTGGTTAAAAGAAGGTAAAAACTTTTAAAATAAATGCTAAAGTACCTTTAAGTTAACTTTGTTCAATAAAAAGATTTTATTTCTTTCTCTTTAGGTTTTGCTAGTTACATTAGCTATTTTGGATCTGATCAAATCAAACCAAATATGGAATCTATGAAAAAAGTTTTCACTGAGCTAATGATACCGGCTTTTAATTTAGATTCTTTTTTGACTTCGCATCCGATTTCAACAAAGGCAGCAAATTCCAATGAAATTCGTGAAATTTTTGATACAATAACATACAATAAAGGTTCATGCATTGTCCAAATGCTTCACAGTTATTTAGGAAAAGAAAAATTTAGAAAGGGGCTCCAACAGTATCTCAACATATATGCATATAAAAACGCCGACCAAGATGATCTGTGGAAACAACTAAGGTAGGAATCTACCTTAAAATGTTAAAATAAATAAATTCTTGCATTTTAAAGAATTAATTTCTTTTTAATGTATTTACCTCCAGAAAGTTGAGGTTGTCTTTGCAGGTTACCATATATTATATAGTAGTGGTAATCTCAATACACTATAAATTATTGTAATCCTCTCCCTCCCCCCCCTCTCTCTCTCTATATATATATATATATATATACATATATATATATTTATATATATATATATATATATATATATATATATATATATATATATATATATATATATATATATATATATATATGTATATATATATATATATATATATATATATATATATATATATATATATGTATATATAAATGTATATATATATGTATATATAAATGTATATATATATGTATATATAAATGTATATATATATATATATATATATATATATATATATATATATATATATGTATATATATATATATATATATATATATATATATATATATGTATATATATATATATATATATATATATATATATATATATATATATGTATATATATATATATATATATATATATATATATATATGTATATATATATATATATATATATATATATATATATATATATATATATATATATATATATATTTATATATATATATATATATATATATATATATATATATATATATATATATATATATATATATATATATATATATATATATAAATATATATATATATAAATGTAAATACAAATATATATGTATATATTTAAAACGATTAAAGTCATTATAATCTTTATTTAGAGCATCATTGTGAGCCATCTTAGTTAAAATTACACACAGTAATTTTAACCAAGATGTTTAAAATTACATACAGTTTTAACATAGTATAAAGAAAAAAAGAATTTAGAAAAATATATATTGTATAGTCAAAAGTAAGTAGTAAGATCTATATAAACTAAGCAGTATTCATTCAATTACGTTGACAATATCCGTCAAATATATAAAAAAAAGAGAGAAACAAAAAAAAAAAAAAAAAACTAATAAAAGCAAAAATTATGCAATTTGATATTCATTTAGAAACACTTATTGATTTAGTTTTATAATCATATATGTTATATTTGTATTTATTACAAACTTAAAAGAATTAAAAAACTTTATTATATTCATATATATATATATATATATATATATATATATATATATATATATATATATATATATATATATATATATATATATATATATATATATATATATATATATATGTTTTAGAAAATTATTTTAAAATAATTAAAATAAATTTTGCAAGAAATATGGACATTAAAGTTAAAAAAATCAACCTCTATACAAGATTAAAAATATATATATATATTTTTGCTTGTTTTCAATCAAATCGCTTCTTTAGAACAAAATATATATACATATATATATATATATATATATATATATATATATATATATATATATATATATATATATATATATATATATATATATTTTGTTCTAAAGAAGCTATTTGATTGAAAATAAAAATATATATATATATTTTTTTGCTTGTTTTCAATCAAATAGCTTCTTTAGAATATCAAGTGTACATCAAGATTAGTACACCAAGTGTCCGTCGTTTAGGGCTATATATATATATATATATATATATATATATATATATATATATATATATATATATGTATATATATATATATATATATATATATATATATATATATATATATATATATATATATATATATATATATATATATATATATATATATATGTTTTAGAAAATTATTTCAAAAAAATTATAATAAATTTTGCAAGCAATATGGACATTAAAGTTAAAAAAATCAACCTCTTTACAAGATTAAAAATATATATACATTTTTTAGCTTGTTTTTTTTTAAGGTAATTGATCATCCGAGTATTTTTTGAAAATATTTTTTGTTGCTTCAAGGTTATTAATAATTATAGCAATTACATTTTCATTTGACACAATGATCCACCTATAATTAATTATAAAGTTAAAAAGTTTAACAGTACTGTTTTTTTTAAATGGTCAAAATCTTCACGCAACAAATCGTCGCTGCTATTATAATAATTTATTAAGTTTGATTTATGTATTTGGATAACTTTGTCTTAAATTTGGTTTGGTTTCAAATTTTTAAAACTTTATTTTAATTTGTTTGTGTGCTAAAAAAAAAAACTTTTAGTTTGAAATATAAATTTTGTGCTTTAAAACCACTTTTATTGTTCTCTTTTTATTATTTTATTGTTATTCTTTTTATTATTATTTTATTATTTTATTATTTTATTCTTATTTTATTGTTTTTGGAAGATAATAATAAGTCTTTATATTCGGTTGGTCCTCTTTATTACAACCATTATTATTTGATTCATTAGAAGAGCTTTCAGAACTTGGAATGTGATTTTAAACTTGATTTTTGGTATCGAACTTAATATTAATTAATGTTAAATAATAAAGTCTATACTAAAAAGCTTTTAATAAATTCTATTTTTTACTTCAGAAGTTTCAGAAGCATTTTTTTTTCACTTCAGGTTAGTGCCAACTTTCCCTAACTTCGAATAAGAGTGTAACTATAACTTTCTATTTTACATAAGAAAATGTCAAATTTTTTTTTTTTTTACTAAAGTAGAACCACTTTTTTATCACAAGAGCTTCAAAGAACTGGGTACTGGAAAGAAAAAAGAACAGAGAACAGAGAAGTGGCATCAAAAATATTATTTTTATAAATCAAATTTAGTAGTGTTACGACACCTGATTCTGTTGTTGCGAAAGATCTAAGTTTTTTGTTCTGAAATCTCTGAAATTTTTGAAATAACAATAACAAAGTTTAGTTGTTTATTAATTACAATGAATTACATATTTGATAAAATATTGTTTATTACAATATGACATAAATGATAAAATATTGTTTATTACAATATAACAACAATGATAAAATATTATTTATCAACATACTTTGAAAAGATGATAAACATTATAACTGCTGGTTAAACATTATAACTCCGGTTGTTGCTTCTAGATAAACTCACTGTTATATACTATTTAGAAAGTTACTTAATAAATTGATTATTTCTATGTCATTTATCACGGGAGCAAATTGACTATCAATTCACAATATTTAAAAAAAATTGTTTTAAATTAGTTATTTGACCATTTTATGTTATTTACTAATATATTGAATGGTCGTTAATTTACTATACGTTACTTTATCATAAAGTAAAACACTTTTGAGTTCTATTTTTTAAAGTTATTTTAATATTTCAATGTAATCACATTGATCGTAAAAATGTTATTTTAAAGTTATTTGAAAAAAAGTTTATAGTTTTTGTTGTATAAGCTTAGAGCCATTATAAACTTGGTAATATAAATAGTATATTAATAAAATTTAATAAAATTATTATTTATTTAATACCATTTAATTAATTTATTTAATGGTTATTGAAAAATTTAAACTAACTTTTAAAAGAATGCATACGAGAAATGAAGTTACTTATTCCTCATTATAGTCTTTCTAAACATTAGGCCTCCACACTCTAGAACAAAAACAACATACTGATACGAGTAAAACAACGTCCTGATATGAGTGAAACGCCTAAAGCTGTGTTATAAACAACAATCTTTTCACAAATTTTTTTAACAACCTAGTAGCAATATCGTTATCATTTATCATGATTATTGCAGTTTTGAATCAATTTTCAATTATAATCGGAGTTAACCAAGAAACTATAATGTCAAAATTTTTAAAATATTGCTGATTAAAATGATGCAACTTCTTTGTTGTTCATTTTTCTTTTTGTAAATTTATAATACATTTCATTAGATTGAACGAAGTAATTTCAATTGAATCATTTCAATGAGAATCTTTTTCAAATTAAATAGATTTAAAATAAAAAGATTAAGTTGGAAGGGACCAGTTAATGTTTTCACAGTTGTTGTTCTATAAATTAGTTTTGGTTAACCTTGACGTCCTATGGTTTTTTTTATTAGCATTTTATTATTGTAGGAAACGTTGTTTGTTAATAGCCGTTATGTAATCAGTTAATTTAATAAAACCTGTTTATCAATTTCTAGCTATTTTGCACAACATCAGAAGTTAGCTATGCAATACAAACAAAATATTTTGGATTCATTCAGCCGACGCTTGGAAAAATGATAAAAAAATTCTTTACATATCTTATTTGATTTTAATTTCTTTTTAGATTCAAATATATTTAAGATTATCCTGAAAACAATCACCGTAGAATGTCTTGGAAAAGTAAAATACAAATATTTTAAAAAAGAAAGCACCCAATGATAGTAACTTACGTTGAAAAACATTTTAACAATTGGGCTAAATATATTTTTTTGAAGATCTTTTTGAAGTTTTTTTAGTCGTACAACTGCTTATATTTCTTTATTAACAATTGACGCTTTAGCTCCGTTTTGCATTTTTGACAATTAAACATTACAGGTTTTATTATCAATACAATATAAATTTGTAAATATTTTTTACATAACTTTGGTTAGCTAGTTTCACAATTACCTTTGGTTTTGTATTATCAAAAAGATTTTCCAAGGTAAAGCATAAGTAAAATTCAAAATTTTTATGTTTAATTTTTATAATACTTTATAAATGCTGACTTAAACTATATTCGTGTGTTAATTTTCTTCGCTAATGGCGGATGTAAGAATATATTTGTACTATATATTTTTTATAAACGTTAGATTATCAAGTTCCTTTAAGATAATTATCAAACAAATTTATAAAAAACAAATTTTAAACAAACGAATAAAAAAAATTTAAGTAAAGAAAAAATAAATAAACAAAAAATAAATTTAAACAATGAAAAAAGGTAAAAAAAAAAAAAGGATAGAAAAAGTTAACCAAACAAAAAAGTTAAGAAGAAAAACAAAACAATTTAATGAAAGGAAATTAGCAACACATTTCGAAAAGAATTTTTTTTACGTTTTAATTGTAATTATTATTATTACTGTTAC